TGTGATTGGAAAGAAGCCCCTAGTTATCACTACAGTAATGACATAAAGTTGCTGCGGTTTTGTGAAAGCAACAGACTGTCAATTATGAACACCTTCTTCGAGCATCGAAGTGTTCATCATTATACATGGTACAGTGATGCTTATGCCCAGAAGTCGTTGATCCATATGATAATCATATCAATGGCTTATGACCTTCCGTAATGGATATTTCCATCAACAGAAGCGCAGAGCTGCCAACCAATCATCTCTTTGTTCTTGGCAACCTCCGCAGTAAACAAAGAAATGATGCGAAGACCAAATGGAAGTATTTGGCGCAACCAATACGATGGTACATAGTTCAGTGACGATGGCGGACATTTAAACTGAGTTGAAGCTCTTTCAGAGCGGCTTACTTACGACTGCCGCTAAATGCTGCCGTTTAAAGCGAGTTAACCTGCCATCCGGAGGTCAGATGTGAATTCCATAGTGGAGAAGAGAGGTTCAACTGATTGTAAGCGAATGGAACGCTGCACTTGAGAGGTGGCTTGGAGTCTAAAGAGCCTTCAACTTGAATGCGACACGAAGAACTGCTCTAGGCGGCTGAGAAGACTGGTTCCCGAGAAAAATTCGATGAGATGTTGGAGTCGAATTTCCAGACCGCAAATAAGGTATATCAAACAACATCCGCCGTTTCAGAGATGGAAGAAGGGCGATCTAAGGGAGCAGAAGTACGATGCATGATTCCCTCTTACCAATGATGGGTATGTACTTCATCAATGTAGAAAGTACTTTGAGGAACTCCTTAGCCCAGAGCAACCGCATGATGACTGACCTGAATCACAATAGGCAACGAATGAAAGTCTTTAGCGGATAAAGTTACGAAAGCTATAGAAAGTTTAAAATGTGGCAAGGCTTCAGGAATTGATGAAATGCCTTATACTTTAGGCGAACACGTATCTGTTTAACTGCAGCGACTAGAGGGAGAATCCGGTAGACTGCAAAATTGCAGTGGCACAACACATGTTCAAGAAAGGAAACCAGTAGTACTGCGTAACTTTATTGTACCTCAGGGAGGTGTTAGAATGGAAGTGCCGCGGAATAACTAACTATAAGATACAAGAAGAGCAGTGTGACTTCAGGTCAGGCATAATTGTCGAGAAATCGTTGAAGTTCGACCATCTGATTTAAACGCGCTTTACTGACCTAGGAATTGCCTATGATCAGATCCAGCGCAACAAGCTATGGCTGAACTTGCAAACATATCGAATCGATGGCCAGCTGTCATGAGCCATCCAATCCCTAATCGAGAGGGACAGAGTAACTGGCATTAAGAGGGGGTTTTCCAACATTGGTTGTGGTCTCCGCCAACGATGCGTTCTGTCCCATCTCCTGATGGTGTTCTACTTGGATTGTATGGTCAGGGCAGTGTCAGGGCAACGACACGAGTATACCAACGTAGAAGATATGGAGATAAGAAGGCTGCTGTTTGCAGACGACCTTGTTTTGTTGGAATCGTCTGAAATTTATATCCAGTGCTCTCTAGAAAGGTTCACAGCCCAGTGCGAGGAGATCTGCACCCGTGGGAACGTATGCAAGACGTTTTCTCGTTCTCCTGCCCCTCCGCTCTGCAAATAAATGGATAAGCCTTGGAACAGGGGTTGAAGTCCACGAACCTCGAGGTCGTGTTTTCTAGTTGTGGAAAATGGGTGGAAGGATCAACCGACGAATTGGAACTGTCCGTTGTCCCAGTTAACATTTTTGCAGAATTGGATGTTATAGGGATCTTCAATCAATAAATGCCAAAGCATGGGGCAACATTTGGCCAAAGCAAACCATGGGCTTCGAACGTCACAACAGCTGCGGACCAGAAACCAACGGCGGAAATTAACCGGGTCCACCCCGTGAGAGATAGGCCGACACGTCGGTACTGGTCAATCACCCAACTGACCAATTTGTTTTCTTCCATTGTGTATAAATAAACCGTTTTTATGCGCTGCGTATTTGTTTATGTAGAAAATTACTGCATCGTTCAGGATTTTGCAAACTGATAAACTACGAACAAAAATTTTACTGCAAGGCATTTACTTGTAAGCTATAGCTGATCCGTCCCTGATCTACGAAAATCTGGATGTAACATTTGTACGTCATTATGAATACTTCATCCAGCATAATACTAGTCTTGATTGACAGATGACGAGTTCCTCTGTCATCCAGCAAAAATGCACAGCTTTTTGTATTTAGGCTGGTTTTCAAGATCTGAAGAGATATGTCATATCCCTTTGCCATTGCATCATTAGCATGCCAGTTAAATTTGATGACGGACTTTACCATTTTGAATGATTTTCTTTAGTTAATGTTTTAACCTTGCTCAGCTTTATAATCAGCCATCAGCAAAAATCAATGCGGATTGCAGCAGTAAAGAACACACATCAGACAGCACGACCGAGTATATGACCGCACAACTGCACCATGCTGTCCCTGTTGATCGCAGATCAACTACCTGCTGTACTTTTTGACTGGTTGTACCAAATCACAGTTGGTCGAATTCCTTGCTCAATGGAATTAACATTTGATACGAGAAAATTTATTTCACACGTGAAACGTGGTCGTGATGCATCTAAATTCCATTATAAACTATCAGCCTCCCCTCCAAGTTTAGTAGACGTTCTACTTAGTCGGCATGAGGTACAAATTTGTCGCTTATATTTCAGACAAGAGTTATCTTTTGGTACCTTCTTTCACCAACGTTCAACTTTCAAATTCATAAAGCAAAATTGGAAAACGATATTCCAGTAGACGAGTTACCGACTTCAGATTGACTCAGTTGCACCTGGACAGATGATATTGAACGGTAAAACGAAATTTTCTATTCTGACCACTGAATCGAAGAAACTGACGTCCGTTGCACGGAATCACTGCTGATTACAGGTAATCTAGTACTACTGGATACCGGATAAGATATATCGCCCAGATCAAGATCCTCGGCGATCCGTCACAAACACCGGGTGACGTCCAAAATTTGGGATCACGCAGCAAATCTAAACATAATAAGAACTGCATTATCCTGAGCCCCAACGATTCCCACGATGATCCACTATGAACTCCGGATTAACGAATCAATGGCAACGCGAATAACATCTGGTTCACACTGTTCCTTATCCTCCTTTAATCAGGTCTATTTTTAACAATAGTTATTTGAATACATTTCCCGAACCCTCATATACCCAGACCGAATTTGATGGCGTTTCGAAAATATCTATGTAATTATGAAATTATACAAACTCCGCCATTGCCGGTCCCAAGCCCGGATGAGAAAGGAGGAGATTTGGAGACCGTGGCAAGTCTCCTTAAAATTTAGCCACCTGCCACTCACGGTATTAACGCCATCGAAAATTGTACCGGCTCGGTCGTCGCCCTGGTCACCAAGGGCCGCGCAGGTTGTTGGGGGCCTGAGGCAGACTGCGAAAAGTCGGCGATCAGAACCTGCTCATTGCCCTCTGCCAGGCTGGGGCGTGGCAGCACAACGACGGCTGACGAAGACCGACGCAAGACGACGAAGGTACCAGTCAGCAACGGAGTCGCTACCCGTTCTGAACGGAGGAGGCAGACAGCGCGATGC